GGAGGGGAGGGGGCGAAAAGTTTGCGCGGGTTCGCTGCTCGGTGCCGGCGGCTCGTTGGGTGTCCTTCTCCCGGGTCAACTCCTGGCGACGCCAACGGGGAGCAGAGGCTGAAAAGGGGGGCAGGCGGTGCTGCTGGGATGCGGCTGCCCCCGGACCGGGCGCGGGGATGCCAAGCGCCGCCGCCGTCGCCACGCCAAAAACTCGCGGAGGCAATGTTTTCATTTACAAGGTTGATTTCTGACCTTCCCGTGCCCCCCTCCAACGCGCGCGTACACACGCCCTTGGGGCTTTCCTCCTCCCTTCTGTTCCGTGGCTGTTTGAAAAAGTTACTTCGGAGACCAAACAAAGCTCGCTCGCCTCGCGCCACGGTCCCTCTGCCGAAGATGCGAGCGGGAGGAGATGGACAAGACGAAGGGGTTGGCTCGCTCCGGCGACGCGCAGCCCAAATCCGTTTAGTTGATCCGGCGTTTTCCCCTCCCGGTCTCCTTCTTCTCCCTCCACCCTTCCTTAATTACTTCTTCTTCGTCGTCTTGGGGGAGAATGGAGCAAGCAGCAAACGAAGAGACGTTTGAATTCAACCCTCTTCCTCTCGGCTGCCTCCCCAACCCCCCGGCAAGCCTTTCTCCGAGATCAAAGAGTCTCAAAGCGCAACTTTCTCGCTCGCTGGCTTGTTTCAAAAAAGCTCGTGGATTTGGGCGATGCTGGTTTTTATTGCGCTGATAAAAGCTTTTTCATTGTGCAGAAAACGAGGTCGATCCAGTCTTTCCTTCTCCTCCCATCACTTGGTCTCATCAAGAAAGCAAACAGTAAAAAGGAGTAAAGCCCCCATACATACTGATCACACCGGATGGGAAATGTCAGTCACTCCTCCACCTTCCAAAGAGTCACAGATCAAACAGTGGCACCACCGAAGAGGATTACTTTAATGCCTCGCTTCCCTCCCTCTCTCTCTCTCTCTTTTTCTTCCAAAAATCGCAGTTTCTTCTGATACTAGAATAACGCAAACACGTTTTTAACAGGGATTATTATTTATAGTTGATCTCGATCCGCAACAGAAAACAAACAAAAGCCCCCACCAGACAACCCCCAGAGATAGTGTGTGAAAGGTGGGGGGGTCGAGAGAGAAGCCGAGACATTCACAGGGTGGGAGAGATTAACGTGACCTATCCCCCCCACCGGTTTAAACTCCTGGGAGAGAAAGAGATCCACTCTCCCTCTCTTCTCTTTTCACTGAAATATAGCACACATTCAGATCCCAGAGCTTTCAGACAGTCTCAACTGATAGACAGACACATCGAGCTGCTTTTCCTGCTTCAGATTTTTTTTACTCCTCCTCCTCTTGCCAACGTCACCCTGACAATTACAAATAGATCTCATACAAACCCATACCTGTCAATCTTTTTAATTGCTTTGTTTAATTTTAATGTTTCTTTGGGTTGCTTTTTGTTTTGTTTTTCCAGACTAAACAACACACGGCAAACACCATAGCAGAGATTTTATTTTATTTTATTTTATTGTTCCAGGAAAATGAGGCTTGTTGTACAGTAGAACTCAAATAGTCATAATCTGGTTTCAAAGGCAAGTACCGAAATGCACAGCTCAAGTTCTCCGGAGCTTGTCTGCCAAGGGTTTGAGGGAGGGAGTCACACATAAAGCAAGTGTCCACTACCGCACCACATTCAGGCATTTTAAAAAGTTTGTTTTTATAGAATATCCCATATTTCCAAGAGTTCACATCATAGGGAAGAAAAGTTAGCTCATTTTTTTTAGCAATAAAGAGCTATAGGAAAAAGAGAAATCAGTTTTTGTTAAATCAAATTGCCTGCTAGAATCTTAAAAAACAAAACAGAAATGGCACCTTTGTGTAAAAGGTAAAATGATTTCTCAGAGAAAACTTCACTGTTTTAAGAAAGGATTTCTTTCATTTTACTTAAAATCACTGTACTCAAGGTTTAAATAAGCAGTTTTTCTATTTTAATTTGTGCAAAGCTGTTTGTGTCTACAATAATTAAAACTAAGCATTTATTCCCAGGCAAATGGGCATATAGTCAGCCACTTCTCTAGATCACTAGTTTTTCTGCATCTGGCACTGTCAAAAATTTGCACCAGAAATATTTTGTATAGCAAATCCTACTCAAATGTGATTTTTTGTGAGTTCAGATAAGTGAGTATATAAAAACTGCCCTTTTGATAGTGCACTCAGTGTATGTCTCCTCAAAATAAATTCACTGAGTTTGGTGGATCTTTCTCCCAGATAAATAGGTATAGGGCCGCAACTTAAGCAGACATACATTATCTTTCCAGTAGCAATACTGAGTATTGCCTAGATTTAAAAGGTCAATTGTAGAAACATTTAAGCTAAAAATAAACGTATGACAACATTATTTAAGACAATATCTAACGGGGTGAAAAAAAAAGCAATCAATGGATTTACCAGCCTATTCTGTCATATGGGGACGTTATAAAACCATGAAGACCAGAAGAACATAGGAAGTAGTTTATTCGAATTGTTATTATTGCTATTGCAACCACTACTAGTACTGTCAGAATTACTATCATTCGGAGCTCACATATGCACGCCCGGCCAGATTTTAAAATATGCTTCCAATCCTTTCGTAAATCTCTGGCGTCTTTATTTTCACCCCAAAGCAAGCGCAGTTTCCAGTCGCGGTTGCAAGCGGCTCTGGTTTGATTCGTACCACCTTACGAGGAAGTGAACGTTTCGCACGGAAGGGGAGGGGCCTGTCTCAGCAGCGAGCGGCTCTAGCGGGCTGCTGATAACAACATTGCCAGATTAGCTGTAACTTCTTGCTCCCAGCCTAACCTTTTATTGCTCTAATACTACATTCAAGTTTTCTTTTGCTCTATTATTTAGGAACGATTTAGGAACGATCAGCTCCGGGTGTTGTTGTTTTTTTTAATGAAAGCTGGGGGGAAGGGTAGTTACGGCAGGTTGGAATATGCAATAATAGTCTCTTTCTTAGCGTGCAGATCAGCCTCCTCCACCAAAAAATAAAGTAGACTATGGTCAGAGATTTCCTCGTCTTCCCAAAAAGTATGTTTTCCTTCCTGAGTGAAAGCAATCTTTAGGTTCCGTGTTTATCTCCACACACACGCTGTGTGATTCTGCCTGTTTTGTTCTAAACTGCACAAAACATCAGCGCACGGGTTTTTGTTCCTGCGACAGCAAGTTTTAAGCAAGCTGGGCTCAAAAGCGAACTTTATCCGTGTTGTTTTTTTAACGTAGAGACAGGACGCAGAAGGTCCGCTGCAGGCGAAATTTACTGCAGCAGCGGCTGCTGCTGATCTAATGTTTCCGAGTGGTGGAGGGGCTGGAAAGGGAGGACTTTGAGCCAGGCGGCAGCTCGCTACATTAGACTTTATTTACATACACAAATCGCAATATACCGAGCTTGCCCGTGCTCGAGGGCTGCACGCTTGCGAAAGACTCCTCCTAGGCTGGAGAGCCCAGGAGTGCCGCGAAAGCCGAGAAAGGTTGGTAGATGATTGTGCGCGGGCAGAGGAGCGTGTGGCTGAGGTCTTGGGGAGCCTGGCAACGTGGGCTGCGACAACAGCAGCAGCTGCAGCTGACTCCTCCGGGGAGTCTCGTCCGGGCTTGTTTGGGTGGTCCTCCGACCCGGCCCATCGTGGACATGTCCTACTCCCGCCACTTTCTGGATTTCCAGGGCTCATCCATTCCCATTTCCATGAAGAAACTGGTAGTGACTAAGCTGAATTCAAACTTCCGAGAAGCTGTTTCCCTTCGCCACGATGCGCCCGTGCCGCTCCCCGGAGACGGCGATCTGCTTGTTAGAAACAGGTGAGAACCCCCCCCCCCCCGGAAAAAACCCATCACCGGGCCGGGAAAAGATGGGAAAGGCCGGGAGGCGACTTTATCTCAAGCCCTAGGTGACAAAGGTTCAAGAAGGAACTTCGACAACCAGGAAATGATTTCCAAGCCCCTCCCAGGCTGGGTAGGATTGCGCCAAGTATCCACAGACGTAACCCTGTGTGTGTAAGCGAGCGGGTAGGCGGCCCTTTCTTTGCTGTATTGTCCTAGATAGGTGATGGTGGGTTGCGTTATACAATAAAACTGACGGATCTGTGTAGATCTCCACGTGCGGTTAATGCCGAGCAATTGGGACGTTGTGTAGAGCTTAGGTTATTTATCGTCATCTCGGGGTGGGTGCGCGCGCATGTAACACACTCCAGACATTATTTTAGAGGAAGTTGTGTACACAACTCTACCTTGTCCCCCTCCCCACCGCAGTCTTCCACGTCACTAACCTTAAGCACGTAGTGAATCAACAGGAAAGCAAGGGACCTCAGTGGTATGTGGCTGCCACCCACCTTTCCCTGTCGCTCCTCAGCCGGTTAATCCCACCACCCTTTTTTTTTCTCTTTCACAACAAAAGCCAGGCTAAAAGCAGACGCGGGAAGAGCGGAGAAACAGGAGAAAGGTGCGGCCCTCCCTGTCCGATCGCTCTCCGCTTACTCGGAAGTAAGGCCCTACCGCTTTCGGTAGCCTTTGCTTCTTAGGAGCTCCACGGAAGCCCGTGGTCCTTGACAGTTTATGACTATTGTTCCGCGGTTCTTCTCCGCCGAGCGCCAAGGGCTGCGGGGCTTTCTCGGTGCAGCCCGGTCGCGCGGGGCGAAAAGAACTGACGTGAATGTGACATACAGAAAATTACGGACTGGCTCTCCAGGACGGTGCCTTCTGTAGGGTCTCGTTCCAGCAAGAAAAAGAAGAAAAAGAAAAAGAAAGTTGTTTGGACAGAATGTACTTTCTCCAAATGGATTTTGTCTGGTCTTTTTTCTGCTTTTATAATGATTCCCCTCTTAGGGGCTACCTTTGTGTAAAATCAACTTTTCCTAAAACTTAAAAATCAGGCAGGGAGAACAGGAAGTTGTCATTACCGAAAATATGTGATTAGGTTTGTGATTTGTGGGAAGATCTTCAAGAAGAGTTTATTCATATTCACCGTTGTGGTCCCTAAAATGTCTTTTAATTTGGATGTAAGAACTTGGTGGTCATCTGAAATCGCCTTTCACCACATTTTTAGTCCAATTGAATCTGATAGATTCAACTAGATAAAGTGCGAGTACTAGAATGAAATGATCTGTGAATCTCACACAACCAGGTGTCAATGCAGATGACAATAGTTATCAGAGCTCTGTCTGAACCATAGCAATACGTGCATGTTTTGTGCAGCGTACAATGCCCACATTACAGAAAGTCTTACCCTCCCTGATGTCAAAGGTTTGAATTATTGCTGTCATCAGAACGCAGTATTTAGAAAGCAAGTATCTGAAACATTGCTAATATTAAAAAACATGGAAGTGATATCTAGCTCTGGATACACTGAAATTCACTTTCTTGGAGAGAAAAGAAGAGAATTGGCTGATATAAAAGGGTACAGGAACATACATCCTGCTTCCTGACTGTCTCTGGGCATCAAAAGGTTGTTACGTCCTTGTTCTCAAATCCCCTCCTCCACAGCACTTTCTCCCCCTTCTCTCCCCCCATGCAATTTGAAAATTTATGCATGCAATTTATTTTGTTTCCAGTGTAACTCTTTCCCATCCTTCCTTTTATGCTGGGTGGGCTCTCTGGGGAGCTGGAGAATGCTTGTGCATTCTCCAAAGTTTGAGGAATGGGGGATGCCAAGTCTCAATCATACAGGGGCCATCTCGCTGTCCCCCCCCATGGTAAACACATTTTGAGTTTGCAAAGGTGCGTGTGAGAAATCACAGGAGTTGGGAGTTCACAACTTCTGTGTCATGTGGATTGTGTGAGGTGATCTCCCGCCCTCCCCCTCCTTTTTTTTTTTCCTGGAGCTTCTCGCACAGGCAAGAGCAGATCTCATTAGTGCAAAATAAAGTGTGTTAAGAATACAGTTCTTTGACGCCTGTTTTTACTCTTTGAAAGCTTCCTCAGGATTCGTTTCAACCCCCCCCCCCCTTTCCATTTCTTGCAGCCTGGGAAAGTGTCTTTCCACCCTCTCAGTACAGTAAACGCAGTCACCTGGATTTATTTAGCCTTGAAAATTCACTCTGGTCAGTGACAAGGCATGGGAGAAGAAAGAAGGCAGGAAGAGATGTTTAAGAATATCATCAGACTGCATCCTGCAGACTGTTCTCTACTTACTCACCTGAAGATGCATACAGTACAGACTTAACCTTTATATTTTGTCTTGTCTGTGCCTCTTATACCCATGCATCCCTGTATGACATTTATGTTGCCTTGGGCTATTGAAGTTCATTTGACTTTAACTTTCCTCCTTTTTTAGAACAAGATTTCAATTTAGATGAAATTCCCTTTCTGCCTCTGACTGGAAAATATGTCTACCCTCACAACTGAATAGATATACAGTAGGGTATATATTGAATAGCAGAAGTAAACCCCATGCAATCTTTATATAGAGAGAAAAGTCAACTGGAAATAGTACATTTGTATCGTGTTGTGGTCAGTGTGATTTTGTGACCAAAAAGAGGGGAGGACCAGGAAGAAAACGAAAACATCTTATTTAGGAAGATATGCACGCCTTTGCCTGGCCTCTGCCTCAAACTGGAATGCAAATTTCTGGGTTCCTGAGTAAATGCAAGTCTCAGGACAGGTATGAGCAATAAAGAGTCAACAAATATAAGTGGCAAGTGTCTGCTTTTTAAAGAGATAAAGAAACATTGGTATGAAAATCAGGAAAAGAAAAATCACAGGCAGGTGGAGTCTGATAGAAAGTATAGAAAAGTTGGAAGAGTTGTTACAATTGTCTCTTGCTGATTGTTTGGACTGGACTCCCGCTTCCCCACGTTAGTGACTTTGTTTTGTCTGCCTGTTTAAGCTTCCTGCCCTACATCTCAGGTCTTCCGAGGGAGTAAATTGCTTCCCAGTAAGGCAAACAAGCTGCTTAACCTCCTTTGAAGATTCCTCCCCCCCATCTCAGTAGTAATCTAAGGTGTGTTGAGAGCCAGTTTGCAACCTTATGGAAAGTGGGAACCTTGACTGTTTAGGTTAAGCATTTCACGAGTTTGAACTGCATTAAAGGCTTGGGCGTCTTCTACTTTGGTGCAAAGGGCATCACGAAGGTCACCTAGTTAACTTCCTAGATAATAGTGATTGCTCCGGAGAGGCAACACGTCTCCTTCGCACAACTTTGCAAGCTGATCCTGAACTTGCGACTCAGTTTTGTAAACAGGCAAACCTATGCCCTTTTACATGGATCGGAGTTGTCCAGTTGATTTCAGCGAAACTTAACTATGCTGTGGCTCTCATATCTACCCAGTGCTTCAATGGGGCTTTCCCGAGTGTGTAAAGCCCTGCAACCATACTACAAAGTGAACAGGGTTAGTTGTGCAATAATTCTGTATGTCTACTTGCTGATTTCTAGTAGGAATGGTAGGAAAGACCAAACTCTGTCTATGACAACATTTCATCAATTTTTTAAAATCACCACAACTTAAGTACACACCTAACCTCTGGGTTGCTGAAATGGGAAATTAAAAAAAATGAATAGAGTGATGTTTCATGCTGAATGGGATGAGGGAATTTAAGCAGAGTTTGGAGACTAAATTGTTGAGTCATGTTTCAGTTTCCAAAGAAAGAACAACTTGCCGAAAAGACTAGAAAGGTTGCTAAACCTAATTTGGCTTATTGCTTGAATTTCTGGTGCATGTCCTGGGGATTCTGCGACCCTCTCTTTCCTCCCTAGATTTTTGCTGGGCAATCGTGAAGTTTTTTGCCCTTGTTTTCCATCTGGGAGGAAGAAGTTGGTAAGAGGCATCTATGAGTGGCTGGAGCACTTGCTGGGAAAACCTTACGTGGAAACGCCTGTGGTTCAGGCAGAGTGGGGAGAAAAGTGGTGGTGCATGGGAGGGGATCACCCAGTGGTCTCCCGCCCTCAAATAGTCCCCTTGGTCGAGCGTGGCAGCAGGCTAAGATACCCCTAACAGCTTCCCTGTGTTAGGGAAATCGCCTGTGCTGTCGCCTGTTCTCGCCTGAGATTCTCGCCTGCTCTGTAACCGCTCGCCCTTCCTTGGCGCACGCACTCCCTGCGGCCAGCGGGAACCCAAGTAAACAAGGCTCCCTCCAGAGCTTGTTCAGAAACAGCGGACGGGAGTAGTAATAGCATTTTGGCCAACGGAATTACTAAACGCCTCGTCTTCCCTCGCCCAGGCAGCTAGCTCTTTTACGTCCGAAGTTCGCGCGCCGCTACGCTCTGCATTGCATTGCCACGTGTTGGGGGGGGGGGGACAAAGTTAAACGGGAAGAAAATGGAAAACGGGCTTGTGCAGGAAAAGTCTCAGCGCGTGTGCTGGCGGGCCCCTCCGCTTCGGCATTTGCTTACACCGAAGAGGCAGTCCCACTCTGGCACTGCGATCTTGCAAAGTTTCACTTTAGAACCGAGGCTGGATTTGAAGGAAAATGCGCTCAGGGTCTCAGGACCCCGCTAAAGCCACGAACTTGATCTTGCGCTCTTGAGCGGAACTGCTCGCCGAGCGGGCTCCGAGCGTGCAGAACCTTTGCCTCGGGTAGAGGAAGGGGGCGTTGGAAACGGCTGGAGAAGCGTGAAGGCAGCAACAATTAGGCTTGCGGGAGGAAGGATTTTTCAGACAAGCCCCGCCGCCCTGTGACTTTGGGCGAGAGGAGGGGGGGACATCCTACGTGCAGCATAAGTCAGTTGGGTGAGGGATGAAGTGGAGAAGCAGGGAATGGGTGAATAAATCGGGCCGGTTTCGCGCCCAGCAGCTGCCTCTCGGGGTAGCAAACTTCCTGCAAGAAGTTGCTGTGTAGGCGAGGCGAGGCAAGAGTTTCTTCATGTAGTTGAAGCTTCTTCCATCCTCGTACGTTGCCGCCTTGATCTTTTGTTTCTCGTGTCCCCAGCAAAACAGCGCAGCCCTCCGCTTACACACCTCTCTCTTACACACACACGTGGGGAGGGGGGCGCAGACGCACGCACGCATCGTTTTACTCTTCCACAACCGGACGTAGAAATGGCGTAAATTAAAGCTACTTGTTTTGTTTTCCTAAATAGCCGTAAACAGAATGAAGATATCCTCTGCTGAGAATGCAGACTAGATTGTATAAAGAATTCAACAGGACAGAAGTTGTTCAGCTGAAGATGTATGGGCACATATTTCTGAATCCAGCTATATCATACATATATGAGAACACTTAATAATGAACTGGCATTTCCTTAGAATTAGAAATATCCAAAGGGCTTCCTTTAATTTGGCCATTTCTGCATGTGTAAATGGTTTTAAATCCCCATAAATCCACACACAGTTTTCCAGTTTTGTCATGGAAGTAATATTTTCACGTATTTTTTCATCCTTGTGCGTAACCAAATGCCAAGATTTGTTTATTTTTGGATATGGAAGAGAAAAAGTTATATCAGCGTAGATTCTTTTCAAACTTCTGTGGAAATACCTGTCTTTAAACACTGTCTCTCTCCAGTTAACTTATTACTTAGCATCACAAGATACTTCATTGCCCATCATTAATACTTCCACTCATTTTTACCTGTTAGAAATCAATAGTGTACAAAGTAGTGGTGCATGATTTTAGTTTTTCTGTTCAAGGTTCTTTTAAGGTGTTGGAGTCATTTATATACAGCTAAATGTTTTAATAATGTGCAAATTAGTTGCATCAAAAGGCAAATTTATTATAGTCACTAGATCAATTTTCTTTAAATTTGCCTGCAGTAACACTTTTGTCCATCGACCTTGCAGGGGACTTTGATACTTCACATTATCATTAGTTATGTAAAGTGTTGTTACAATCTGAAATGTAAATTTGTTGCCAGAGTCGACATGTTTACTATTTTATTCCTATTCTGTATTGTACAGTATTACAAGTAAAAGACATATTTTTATTCCATAGCTTATAAGAAATAATTTCTTTTCTTGTTACTTTTGTTATGCAAGATAGGTATACCTTAGGTTTTCATTTGAAGAAATAATGTCAAGTATGTATATTAGTAAAAGTGAAATCTGATTACAATTATCTTTTTTATTGGGGGGGGCATAAAACAATAACCCTTGAAATATTTGAAGAGGCATCACTGAAATCTCCAGCTTGTGCATTTAAGTGAAAAGATTTTCTTACAACAAATAAAGGTTTTGTTAAAAAGAGATCTTAATACGTTTTTGTTTTCTTCTAGATTTGTTGGCATTAATGCATCTGATATTAACTACTCAGCTGGCCGGTATGATGCTTTGGCTAAGCCTCCATTTGACGTAGGTTTTGAAGGAATTGGTGAAGTGGTGGCCTTGGGCTTAAGTGCAAGTGAAAAATACGCTGTAGGCCAGTCTGTGGCCTACTTAAAAGCAGGAGCTTTTGCTGAATATACAGTTGTGCCTGCTAAAGAAGCTATTCCACTACCTTCCATGAAACCAGAGTTTCTGTCCCTTCTGATAAGTGGAACTACAGCATATATCAGTCTGAAGGAGCTTGGAGAATTGTCTGAAGGAAAGACAATTCTGGTGACAGCAGCAGCTGGAGGCACTGGCCAGTTTGCTGTGCAACTTTCAAAGAAGGCAAAATGCCACGTAATAGGAACTTGCTCCAGTGATGAAAAATGTAGCTTTCTGAAATCTATTGGCTGTGACCGACCTATCAACTATAAAACTGAAAATGTTGCTGCTGTCCTCCAAAAAGAGTATCCCAAAGGTGTGGATGTTGTGTATGAATCGGTTGGTGGGGAGATGTTTGACTTGGCTATCAAGTCCTTGGCTATCAGAGGCCGTCTGATCATTATTGGGTTTATTTCTGGCTACCAAACACGTATTGGTCTTCCAGCAAGTCATACAGAGATGCTGCCAGCAAAGTTGCTAAAAAAATCAGCCAGCATCCGAGGTTTCTTCTTAAACCATTACTATTCTGAGTACCAAATGGCTATGAAACACTTGGTTGAAATGTGTGAAATGAGAGAAATAGTTTGTGAGGTGGACTTTGGAGACCTGTCTCTAGAGAGCAAGTTCACTGGCTTAGAGTCAGTGTTCCGTGCTATAGATTATATGTACATGGGAAAAAACATTGGAAAAATTGTAGTTGAATTACCTCACTCTGTCAACAGTAAGCTGTAAAAACAGAACAATGACATAAATCAAAACAGAGTAAATGGGCATTTTATGCTTGGCGATAATGCTTTAATTTCTTTAAGGCTGGCAATGGGTAATATATTAAAATAGCAAAACAGTATTTTGATTTGTTGAAGAGGTTTTGTATTGTTTAAAAACGCGGCTTGTAGCTAGCATTAAATTTACTTTTACCACATTTTTGGTCTGGAAATTTTCAATTTCCAACTTGCAGTGGATTTGAATATAATTCTAGACAACCTCAAAACTATGTCAAACTGATCTCATACCTTTCTTCCGGAACTCACTATGTGAAGGCAATATACGGAGCTGCAATCCTGTACGGTTTAGCTAAGATGAAGCCCATTGTTCTTGAAGTGGTTTAATAGACATGCATAGGATTACGCAGCAATCCTATATGCACCTTATACAGAAATATGCCCTCCTGATACTCAGATTGATTATTCCTATATACATGTGTATGAGACTGTACTGTTAAAACATCCATTGTACTTTAAATTTGTTATATGAACTGGGATGGATACAATCTGCAGAGACATTCTGTTCACAATAGAACTACGTAGAAAAGTTTTTTCTACAAAGCTTATTCTACACAATGTTCACATTTTTATTCTAGTATGAACATGTATGACTTTTTTATGTGTGCCGTTGGTTAAAAATGAACATTTTTATTTTTGACTCAACCTTGCCAGCTTATTTCAAGTGTGTATATGTTGGGATATTTAGTTATCTTATAAAATGACCTTTGAGGTATTATTTTGCCCTTATGTACTTATTTATTAGAGTTTTTCTTCTGCAATCTAACTTCTTTACATTATGTTGAAAATATAATAATCCAGGAATTTTCACATTAATGAAACGCACCAGAAGATATATGCTGTATCACTGAAAATGGAAATGGTACAGATTAAAATGTTGGATTAGAATGGCACCAGTATAGAATGTGTTTGGCTATGTAATAAAATATGATCCCTGTAAGATATTTTATTATACAATTCTAAGTATAAAGCATTAAAAGTCATTTTAGTTAACTTTTTTACAGTGTGGTTCAGTTATCAGTTATCTATTCAGATAGAAATTCCATTTGGGACATAAACTTCTTTGAACTTCACAAAACTTGTATCTAAGTAGATATAACTACAACTGAGCTCTCAGTAATTGCCCTTGAAATGCAGTTTTAAAAAAAATCCTTTTACAAATAGAGCTTTTTATAGTCACCTTATTTCTGTTCACTTTATAGTACCTATTTGGGATTTGGGGAAATGATGAAGTGCATCAATACATGTACTGATTCAAAACAAAGTTTTTTTCAGAAATTTCAAAGATGACAAAAATTGTGATATATTTTAAATATTCTTTATTAGTTTCCAGTTCTCGGCTCTTTGCTTTTTCAAGAATTTGGACAATTGGAAACAAGTTTAAAGAAATGTAAAGTGTTCTTTGGTTAGGGGCTGGGTTTAAATTCACAGACATGACCCTTAAGCCAGCTAAGCACCACTGAGGTCAATGGGACTTAAATGGTTTGTATCTAAATAGTTGAGTTTCATTTGATTTGGGATTGATCTGGTAAACTTTTTTGTTGATAGGTGTAACTGAAGTACATTTTGGATGTTGCTAGCAGTTGAAACACTTATAGAAACACTGTCATTATGATTGATTGATTTGATTTGATTGATTAAAAGAATTGAAACACAAGTATTCATAATAACTTTCAGCTTTAGACATAGGAAACCCTCAAACTAAGTATTTGTAATCCAGGTCTGTTATTAGTCAACATTATGTACTGCTGTTATATGTCTAAAAATCATCTTTTTCAAATTGCCTACCTGCACAGTTTTTAATATTTGAATCTTACAGTTAATTTTGAGGGACTATTTCTAAACAATATTTACAGCCAAATCATAAATCCTAATTTCACAAATAAGATCCACTGATTTCAGGGAAATTACTTCAGTATAAATATGTTTGGTATACTACTATGTGATTAAATTCTTTCAATTTCAATTGGGCAGCCAATATATGCCTAAATAAATCATTATATCTTAGGTCTGAAGTGAATTATTGTGTCTTAGAGAATTGTTTTTCTTTTAGCAAGAAATTCTATGTCATCTGTATAATTGAAGATTCTGAATTATTTCTCTGCACTAAGTATAACAGTTACCAGAAGAAGTGGTAATTGACTGTAACAATTATCAAATAAATTAAAGCAACACAAGAACTTAAAGCATTTTCTGTTAATAATAATCACAGCATCCATTCTGTTGGATGCTGTGATTTAGCTGATTCATATTGTACACAACAACATAGTGTGTGGTAATACATACACAAGTAAGCACTGATGAATAGCATAATGAGTGAAGCAAAGGTAATTCTCGTAAGAATACAGTGGAGTAGAAATCCTGATTTCTAAATCTCTGTTGGCTACATTCACTATATATTTACAAACACCGAACTTAGCTTCACAATATTACAGTATTGTTTGAGAAATACATATTAAATGCAATTGGGCCTGAGATTACATACAGGACAAAGAAAGCAACTCTAAGCATATTTGCATTAACATTAATTGAACTCCAATGCTTATTTGGGAGTCACATAACCTGTGGATTCTAATTACATTTCATTCTTTTTCAATCTGAAAGAGAAGAGTCCGCAAATTCAAAAGATACTCTAACATTTAGTGTCTTACTGTTGGTGCTATGTCATTGTTCTGGTTCTTTTATGAAAGTATTATCAAAGTGTCATAAACGTTCCCCAGTCATTCTTTGATCACCTACTCTACCTGCAATGACATTGTATAGGTTAGTATGGGCAAGGGTTAAAGAATCTTTAATAAACTGGTATTTCCAAGATGTGTATCAAATATGTGTCTTACTATGCCTAATTTTTTACTATCGTCCCCTATGTAAAACTCATCATTTCTTTTTCTTAGGTTTTTTGTAAACTCACCATAGTCTGGATTATGTTAATTCTGAATTAGTAGTGAATTTCAAAAAAATTGTTTATGTGTTTTTTTTAAAAGTCTTATGTGACTGACCATCTTATGAAACACACCTCTGAGTGGCTCACAACAATAAGAAAAACCAGGAAAATCTTGTCCCTCAACCACCATTCTTGATACATCCAACAAGACAATCTCTGAGCTCCACCTTTAATTTTTCCTAACACTGGGGGGAAGAGCCAGCTCTTTATGGCTTTCCATTCAGCAGCCTACAGTATGGATTGGCAGAGTGTTGGTAGATCAGATGTCTTCATGAACTATGTACAGTATACAAGTAAAATATAATATGCTTAAGTCAGGGTTCACGTTGCCCAATATATGAGGAAAAAGTTGCTGGAGAAGAGTAGAATGGGTGTTTTCCCTTCCCAGTCCTTTGAACTAAGGTACGTAGTAGAGCAGTTTTTCAAAAAGCTGCAGTAAAGGCCGAGGGAGTCCAGAAAAAGCCATGTTGTCTGCACAAAACTTTGGATTTTGCACCCAAAGGACTTATCTTAAAATGCGTTCTTAAAAACATGAATCCATAATTGAGCACGTATGTGTGCTTTAGAAAGTTACTATCAACACTATGTAAAGAACAAGCTTTCAGTGATATTAAGGCAGAGTTTAGAAAGTGATGGAGGCTGAAAATCCACAAACACTTACCTGTTTCACTTCCTATTAAATTGAATGGAGTTTGCTTTTGAATAAACATATATAGGTTTGTCTTGTGCGTTGCTTTTTGACTAAAGCTTTTCTACATGAATTTGCTTCATGGGAAAATCTTGATGGAAAAAAAGTTTTGGAACAGACTAAAAACAGCCATTTTTTTTCCTATAAGCAACCAAATCTTCAGGGATGGGGATGGGGGGGGGGAGGCAGAGATATCAAGAAAGGAAGAATATGATTTAAAAAAAATAATTTTAAAGATAACGTGGTAAATGTATTCACTTGCACTTGCAAATTTAGGCATGTTCTATCAGAGAATTGTTATTGAATGGATCTGATGAAACAATTTAATACCTTTCAAAAAATAATTATGTTTCTCAATATTCTACTGCTAATGCTTTGAAAAAATAAAGAAGAAGCCAGTTGTTGGCTGTAATTGCCATGCTGTGCAAATACAAATAATTGCAACTGCTCAGGGAAAAGTTTGTCTCAGTCTTCAGAAATGTTTTTTTGTTTGTTCGTTCGTTTGTTGCCTTTCCTCAGCCAAGCTGGGAAAAAACCTCCCCTGCTTAAATAGGCTGTTAGTATCTATTTTACAAGATTTACTCATTTTCAGGTGCCTAATATAGCTGTTAGCATGCATGCACAACATTACAATTTATATGGTAAATGGAACCAAATAATGCTTTCGCTGAATGTTATGGCTGCACTGAAGAGAAATGTCACGGTAAATAGCTGCCAAATTATGGATCATGCCGAAGTGTCACAACTGCACTAAAGACAAATAGGGCTGGAGGCTATTGCCACTGGGACACTGTTGAGTTATGAAGAAGAGGCACGGCCTTGATGGGAGGCTCTTTGTGTCGTCATTATAGCAAAGGGTTACTGGTGCAGCCTTCAAGGAAGCCTAGACCAACGGAAGGGTTAGTTATTAATCTACCCATTTCTGATCTAACAGCTGTAGAACAGGCTGCCTTCAAAACACGTGAACACGCTGAGAAGGGGGGAGAGAGAGAAAGAGACTAAAATACTGCAGGTCTTATTAACATAAACGGGAATGGGAAAGGGCAAGGCAATGGCCAAATGTTGCAATGCTAAAATCAAATAATACTATGTAACTTAACGTCATGTACATTTGAAAAGTTTACTTGCTTGCAAGTCAGATATATGTGTGAAATAAAGGTGGTAATCCACTTTTTCTCTTTATAAAGACTGAGTAGTCCCCGTTTCTTTCATTTTAATGGGAAAGTAATAAAGATGAAAGAGTAACATTTTAAATAATGGACCCCTTAAGCGAAAGAAGAGAAATTTATTATGTTTGAGGAGCAGCGATAAATTCTGAAAGCAACTGCATGTTTGGGATGATATGAAAACCCCATGTTAAAGAAAAAACAAAGCATAGCATTAAAGCAGGAAAAGCCCCCCCCCCTTTTTTTTTTGGTAATCTTGAACAGGTTTATATTATTTTTGCTTATCCTGAGAAACCAGATTCTCTCCAGACATGAAAAGAAAAGTTCTTCATCCTCTTTCTCCAAAAAATGATTTAATCATGATAGAAGTTCTTTACTATCATACTTATGGACATTTTCAAATTTAGCAACCTGTACATATACTCCAAAAGTGGTGTTTGTGTATCTGTATGTATATGGGAAATACGTATATTTTTAAAAACACATTTTTTGTGAATGATTATACATACTCTAAATAGAAATCTATAATGCAGCACAACTGTCAGCCCTTATTTTTAGAGAGAAAGTCGGGGCCAAACAATTGTGGATAAATCACCTCTATTCTACAGAGAATGGCCTTCCTTCCATATTGTCCTTAATGCCATTGGAAAGGCAGGGTTGTGGGCAAGTTGCACAGTAGTTAAATTTTACACACTCTTAAATGTGTCCTAACTTTTTCGTATTGTGAATAAACAGGTTTATTTAATTACTATTTCTTTTAGTTTTTTTTTTTAATTCAGAACTGATAAATTTACCTCCTATTTTACATTCTTCTAATATGTGTGATCTATACAGATACTTCTTGTAATACCTTAATACTTTTGGATATATATACACACACACACACACACACACACACATATATACATACATACATACATACATACACACACACACCAAGTAAACACCTTAATTTCGAATGATATACCAGGTTTTAACAGTGGCAAAAAGACAACCCTTATTTAAAATCTCTACCTTCTCATCTAATAAAAAGTTTATCAAAACCAGACTAGAATATCTTGAAATAGTTATTAGTTACCCAAAATTAATGTTTATATATTGCACAGTTGCAAATAACTGCTGCTTATTAAATGAAAGCTCTGTGTTAAGCACTGTAGGAACATCTTGGCTAATGAGCATGTAATGTTCTTTGTTTAGCATAGAACTTTTTGTGTTCTGAACTACAAGATGCTGGAAAGTTGACAAATTACATCATTTAAGACAGATGCCTGCCTTGGGGAAGATTTTTTTTAAGGTTTCCTGTTTCTGCCTTTTATTTCAGTAACATTTGCAATTGCTACAAGATCTGTACCTGTGCAGTGTTTAACCCTTTCACACTGTAGTTCACAATAACTCTGAGATTTGCGGCTTGTATCAGAACAGAGCAGGAATTACAGAGCAGTGTTTCAGCTGCCTTGTTTTTCTCTATTCTTTGGTCCACAAATACAGTGGTACCTCGGGTTACGAATTTAATCCGTTCCGTGACTCTGGTCGCAACCCGATTTGTTCTCAACCTGAAGCAGATTTTCCCATAAGGTTCAATGTAATTACCGTTAATCCGTTCCGGCGTCCACAGACCATGCGTCAAGGGCGGAAAAACGGCCGCGGACCACGCGGCAGGGCGGAAAAACGGCCGCGGACCGCGCGGCAAGGCGGAAAAACAGCCGCGGACCGCGTGGCACGGTGGAAAAACGGCTGCGGACCACGCGGCAGGGCGGAAAAACGGCCGCGGACCATGTGGCACGGGCGGAAAATGGCCACGGACCATGTGGCACGGGCGGAAAAAGGCCGCGGATCCGGTTCGTACCCCGAGGTGGAGTTCGCAAACCGAGGTAAATTTTTGTGGCCAGAGCTGGTCGTAACCCGAAAAGTTTGTAAGCAGAGGCGTTCATAACCCGAGGTACCACTGTACTTGTGTTTCTTTGCTTTTTAAAAATGTTTACACCTGGCTTTTAACAAGTAGCATCCAAGGTGACAATAAAATTTATTCAAAAGAAAATATAATACTCAAATGCAATTATCATTGAAATAAAATCTGAGACAGAACAATGAGAAGAGGTAATTGAATGATTTGTTTTCATTGCCATATGTATAATCCAATAGTGATTGTGTGTAACCAAATCGTTTCTCTCGGTGTGTACATTAATGTGAGGATTGGCTATGTAGCAGC